TTCCAGTATACAATTACAGAAAGTCCTCAATGTTGCCCGTAGGTTCTTGGAAACTGCAACTTTCTTTTTTTAAAAAGATTTATTTATGCATACAAGAACTGGGGTATAGGCCAGAGGTGTGCAAGGTGAGAAGATTCACCAGAGACAGCATGGGGAGCAGAACAGGCAGATTGACTGAAATACACTGTTGAGGGGAGCAGCAGGTGAGACAGGAGAGGTCTGCTGCACCCAGTGGGTCAGCTCTTTTGCCGGGAATCGAATTCATGCCACAGTAGCTGGTGTTAGCTTGACAGCACTGAGACTTTAACCCTCCTGCACCACAAGGGAGGCCCAGAAACTGCAACTTTAAATGAAACATAAATAAACCAATTTTACCACTTATACCACTTTATACCAGAGTTAAGTTCCTATGGCATATTTCTGGTCACAAAAACATCAACAAGCTTCTAAATAAATATCTAAAACACTTTGAATATTAAACAATCATTTGTAATCATTCATTATTCCAATTCAGGGTCACAAGTGGTAGACCCAGCCCTGTACAGGACACCCTTCCATCTGAGGGCACACACAGACAATTTAGATATGACAGTGACCCTCACATGCACATTTTTGGGATCTGTGTGGAGAAAATTTGAACAAACATGGAAAGAATGTGCAAATGATGCCCCCCCCCCAATTTATTTTCCTCTACTCAACTTTATCATGAAATGACATTGTTTAGAGCCCTTTTGTATAGCAGTATAGGAGTGGTTAACCTGCACATCCGTGTTAAACAACTGAACTAGAAAAGTTCACCTTTATAGATGCCACTCATTGCTGAATTATTTAGGTGATCATCATCATTATCTTCCCTTTCTTTGAGGTGGTTTCATATATATGTAAGACAGTTGTTTTGTCACATTCTGCCTGCTATCCTTGGATCACTTCACCTAAATGAATTTTTAAATTTTTGTATATTAAAAGTCACTGTCTGGAGGCCTCCCTAGTGGCACAGCGGGTTGAACGCAGTGCTTTGAAGCTGTCCACAGTCTCTGCAGCGCAGGTTCAATTTCCTGCTGGCCAGGGAGATTTCCCACATGGAGTGGCAGACCTCTCCTGTCGTGTCCGTTGCTCCCGTCAGCAGTGTATTTCAGTCATCTGCCTCTTCTGCTCCCTGCTTTGTCTCTGGTGAATCCTCTCACCCTCCCGCACTTCTGGCCTGTACCCCAGCTCTTGTACAAAAATAAATCTTAAAAAAAAAAAAAAGCACTGATTGTCATGTGTCCATAATTAAAGCATCATGTAAAATAGTTCCACTTCCTAAAAATTCCTTTGGGCTTGACTAGTTAACCTGGCAGTCTTTCCCCAAAACTCTTGCTACTACTGATTTTTGTATTGCATCTTAGTTTTGCCTTTTGCACAATGTGTAATTGGAATTATACAGTATGTAGCCTTTTCCGACAGGCTTCTTTCATTTAGCAATGTGGATTTAAGATTTTATCCAAGTCTTGTGATTAGAGTGCTCATTTTTTAAAAATTGCTGAACACTTTCATTATATGGGTGTACTACAGTTTAATCATTCACCTGTTGAAAGACATTTTGGTTCAAATTTGAGTGATTATGGATAAAACTATAAACATTTGCCTGCATTTGTGTCAGCTGATGGGTAAGTACTATGGGGAACAATTGCCAAGTCATATATAATAAAACTACATTTAACTTTGCAAAAATTGCCAACCTGTCTTCCAAGTGACTTATTGCATTTTCATTAGCAGTAAATGAGTTTTTTTTGCCTCATGTCTTTACCACTTTTTTGTACCTTAACCATTCTGATAGGTGTACAGTGGTAGTATCTCATTTTTTTTTTTTTTTAAAGATTTATGCACAAGAACTGGGGTGCAGGCCAGAGGTATGGGGGCCAGGGTGAGAGGATTCACTGGAGAGAGTGGGGAACAGAACAGGTGGGTTGAAATACACTGCTGAGGGGAGCAGTGGGCCAGTCAGGAGAGGTCTGCTGTACCTTGTGGGCCAGCTCCCTGGCCCAGATGGAACTTGGGCTGCAGTGGCTGCCAACAGCTTCATAGTGCTGAGACTAAACCCGTTGCGCCACCGGGGAGGCCCTCGTTTTTTAATTTGCAGTTACCTCATGGCAAGTGATATTGAGCATCTTTTCATGTTTATCTTCTATATGAATATCATAGGGGAGATAGCTGTTCAGATTTTTTGCACATTTTAAAATTAGGTGGTTTGTTTTATTGTTGAGTTCTTTGTATATTTTTGTACCACTTCATTAACAGATAATGTGTTTTGCAAGTACTTTTTCCTAGATTTGGCTTTTGATTTTAAGTCTTTTTTTCCCCACATTTTTTATTTTATTTTTTAAAAACTTTTTAAAAAAAGATTTATTTATTTATGCATACAAGAACTGGGGTACAGGCCAGAGGTGTGGGGGGTAAGAGGATTCACCAAAGACAGAGTGGGGAACAGAACAGGCAGATTGATTGAAATACACTGAGGGGAGCAGTGGGCGAGACAGGAGAGGTCTGCTGCGCCATGTGGGTCTCCTCCCTGGCAGGGGATTGAACTCGTGCTGCAGTGGCTGTGGATAGCTTCATAGGCTGTGTCTTAACTCCTTGTGCCACCAGGGAGGTCCCCCTTTTTTTACATTTTAAAAGGACAGGTTTATTAGGAAGAGAAGGCACCTGCATAGTCCTGCTGCTCTTACATCTTTCACAGAGTTGATTTTAGTTTCAATAAAGTCCAGTATAACAATTTTTTTCTTTTATACTGCTTGCTTTGATACTGTGTGTAAAAATGCATAAACCCATCATCACCTAATTTCCTTTTGTGCTTCTGGAAAGCATAATAATGCAATATCCTTTTTATATGCCCAATCAACAGTTGATACCTTTGGGAAATGAAATGGGAAGGGGGGAGTTTTGTTTCTTGGTATGTGGATTTCCATTAATGAAGCAAAATTGAGATCACCTTAATGACTGGGCCTCCCCGGTGGTGCAGCGGTTGAGCGCTGGGTTGCGAAACTGCCCGCGGCCTCTGTGGCGCCGGTTCGATCCCCAGCTGCTCCCCGGCCACCGGAGGAGGGTCCCACATGGCGCACAGACCCCTCCTGCCGCCCGCTGCTCTCCTCAGCAGTGTACTTCGGTCCTTCTGCCTGCTCTGCTCCCCGCTCTGGCTCTGGTGAATTCTCTCGCCCTCCCAAGCTTCTGACTGTACCCAGTGCATGTATAAACAAAAAACAAACAAAACAAAAACAAAATAAATAAATAAATGAAAAACATGCCTCTATAAAAAAAATTTTTTTTTTCTTGACTTGTAAGTCTCTGAAGGACTTGGAACATTTAATCTGGTTTAATAGTGAGTGGTTCTTGAAACTATAGAATATAGGCTCATTGACAACAGCATTTTCTTGGGCATATTGGCAAGTTACAGTTGTTAAAACAATTTGTATGAAGCTAGCAGTGGCTGAGCCTTATAAGTGCACAGCTGTGAGAATAGTTTGTTGTGTTTTGGCAATATTGGTTCCTCACATCCTTAACTTTCTGCATAATATAACAGTAACAAATGAGTGCTAGAGTGCCTTCTCTTACCTGAAAAAACAGGTTCTGCAGCTTAGGATGTCTGAGAAATGGTGGTGGGAGAGATGTGCATTTCCTGAGTTTGCTGGAACCTTCCTGTGGTTCTTGAGAGGGCCCTGGGCCTTTTGGATACCAGAAAACTGTTTTCCTTTCAATGGGGCCATTCTCCCTCTCCCACGTGAGTGCTCTTTTGCCCTCAGTTGCCATCATCCACCAGCCTGGGCTAGATGTTCTGTAGTGGCAGCCTGTCTCACCAAACCTAGCTGAATCCCCTTTGCAGGTCTCTCCTTTCAGTGCTCTTCCTGACCAGTCTTCCTGTCTCTGTCACACTTCCTCAGTATCCAACCACACAGTAACATTTTGTCTAGGATAATAGAAATAGGAAGACTTTGGAGCCTTTGAATTTCACTTATTAGTTTTGATAATGAGTAGATCATTTTAATCTCACTGTTTTATTTCCTAATGTGTAAAATAAAATCAGAGTAATACCTCACTGGAAGTTTACATGAAACAATGTATGTGAAAGTGCTTTACAAACTGGAAAACAAAGCACAAATGTGTTACTCATTAGTGCCAACCAGTGGTTCTCAAAGTGTGACTTCTGAGCCAGTAGCCTCAGCATTCCCTGGAACTGACTGGAAAGGTGAATTCTGACATGAGGTCCAGCCCAGACCTCAGTGAGATAATCTATTTTAAAGCCCCCTGTGTGATAACTGTTATAGGGCAGCCCCGATATTGAATGTGTTGCCTGGCTGTGGGTCCTCACCCGCACGCTTACAAGGGACTTATTAATACTCCACTACAGGCACACACAAAAGGTTAATAAAAGGTTTATTTACAAGGGAAAAGGAAATAAGGAAAATGTACAACTCAGGGAGAAAATAGAGAAATAAAGTCTTTAATGCGTCCTACCCGATCCGCCGACCTGGAAACCCAAAAAGCACTCTCCGAGCTGGCCGGAGCTGCGAGCTGGCGGGGAGCCAAAATGGAGGACCCCTCCAAAGCCCACGTGTCTGGCTTTGTACCAAACTGGCTGCTTAACCCCGCCCTCAGGTCCCAGCCACCTTCCCTTTGGTGGTGATGGGATTTGGGGTTCCCAGTGGCTTTGGCTTTGGCCTGGGGTGGGGGTGGAGTCCACAAAGCCTATATGGAATTAGCTTTAGGACTTCCTTTTCCCCCTAACAATACTACTGCACATTCAAGTTTGAGAAGCACTGCTACCCATAATGATCCTTAAATACCCAAGGGATGGTTGTTTTTTTGTTTTGTTTTGTTTTGTTTGTGGGACCCTCGCCAGCGGCCGTGGAACAAACCGGTACTGACCGGTACTGCAGAGGCTGCGGGCAGCCTCGCAGCCCAGCGCTCAACCAACCGCTGCTCCACCAGGGGAGGCCCAAGGGATGGTATTTTTATTAGTTCAGGCTACCATAACAATACCACAGATTGGGTAGCTGAAACAACAAAAATATATTATTGTAATTTGGCATCTGGAGGCTGGAAGTCCAAGAGCAAGGTATTGGCAGTTGGTTTCTGGTGAGATCTGTCCTTGACTTGCAGAGGACCCATTTTCTGGTTGTGTCCCCACATGGACTTTAATCTGTTGCACTCTCACACCTGATACCTATCTCTTAGACGCCAGTCCTGTTAATTAAAAACACATCCTTATGACTTCCATTTTATCTTCATTACTTCCTTGAAGGCCCTGTGTCCAAATATGGTCACATTTTGAGTTAGGACTTCAACATTAGGGGGAGCACAATTCACTTCATAACAACAATATATCACCAAATTAAAAATTGAGGAAAAAAATCAGTAGGTAAGTAGCTAACCCAGTGGAACGATCTACCTGATTATCTTTTCCTTGAGCAAGTGTTGTAATTCTAACACCAACACTTAGTCCTAATTAATCTATTAGTTTTGTGCTTTATTACTACTAGTCTTATTTTGTTAATTCTTTTTAAAATTTATAGTTGTAACCGTGTCTTGTTTTAGATTAATTTTGATTTTGTAGTTTATCCCTAGGAATTCCAGCTACCATTTATAGCATTGTTCCTGTGAGAGAACTTGGGAGTTGTATAGAGTTGATTTAAATAAAAGTGTTGCATCAGTCTGTTTAGTTTTAAAGACTCTTTTTGAAATTGTCAAACAAAGCAGTATTGCTGTGCTACTCTACATTTTTCCACAAAAGAAAATAGAAACCTTTACCATGAATAACTGAAAGATTACTGGTATTATGTATATGAGAAACCCTATTAGAAAGTTGACATTGAGTTTCTTCTAAAAACTAGTTTCAGTCCTAAGAAAGTGTGATTTTATTTAGCATTATTTTTTGGGCAGTTTTGTAACTTTATTTTGATATTCAGTGGTTAATTCTCACCCATATTAACTGTAGGTTTTTGAAAGTTATCACAAGTATGTAGGTAACCAATGTATAAGGCTTATTTGGTAAATCTTCATCCTCATGTTTCCTGGACAACCACAAGTGGATACCGTATGGACATACCTTATTCCTTTGGCTCAGACAGCTTTGTTGAGCCTGGTGTTGGTGCGCACACCTGGAGTGCACACATTTCCTTCATTGTAAATATACAGATGTCTTTTAGGGGCTATGGAGTGTGCTACCTGAAGCCCACTCCTAGATAGGTTTGTGAATGTTGATGGTGTGTTTTCTGATAACTCTGGCCGCCATTCTTAGCGGAAACCTTTCTGCCCAAACGTGAAAGGAAAGAGGACTTTTATTTTCTCACTGTCTAAGGTGCATTTAGGAATCCAGTGACCTTTACCTTCTTTCATTTTGTGAGCACAGTCCTAAGAAATATAAATAAAAGAAATAGTACCAAATGATATGTAAGTGTGGTTCTAGAGTTATAAGGAATTTGAGTTAAATACAGCATTAGAATAAGTTGATTTACATTTATTTTTGAAACTTAAATTGTTCAAAATGGCAACAATGGCTGTGAATTGGGGCCATCTAAGTTTATGAAGGAGCCCCTCACTTTTTTCCTCTAAAAAGTTTTTGGATTTTGCCTGAGAAAGATAATCATTGTAAACAATGAGACCAAAATAACAAAGCTCAGTTTTCTATCCTTTCTATTTTACCATGGCAAAACCAGATAAGATTTACCATCATAACTCTTATTTAAGTGTACACTTCAGGGACTTTTAAGAACTTTCTCCTTGTGCAGCCATCACCCCTGTCCTTCTGAGAACTCCTTATGCAGAATGACTATACTACCTGCCACGAAATCATTTTGAATCCATGAGACTCAGTTTTTTGTCTTTAACTCTTTGGTCCTTGGAAAAAAGACCTACTACCAGCAGGCAGTGTAATATAATGTACAAGTCACTTTAAGTGCTTACAGAAATAGAGATAAAAGTAGCAGGTCCTTCAAAGCGCGTTGACCCACCATCAATCTGGGATGTGCAGTGAGGGAGGAGTTGGAGTGATGGGAGTGGGGGAGGGAGATACAGTGGAGCAGGGTGGTAGTTCTTGGGTGGAATTTTGGAGGGAAGGCTGCACCTAAGGGGAATAATAGCAATACAAAGGTGACTGACAAAGTAAGAATATTAAAAAAAAAGAGATCCTTCATTTAATATTTTTGTTGAGTCTTAAAATACAAATTTGAAATTTATATACACTTATCTTTGAACAACAGCAATAATCTATTAAGTTTTTAATGTTAACTCCTCTGTTATTTTATTGCAATGTATAGATCAGTACTTATTATAAATACATGAGAGGGGCTTTTGTCCATTGTAAAGTTCTTTACAAGTTTAAGGGGTTAGTTTGAAATTATATTTGAACACTTTTTATCTGTGTGGCCAATGTTTATAAAGGAGACAGGTGTTCAAGTTTAACTTTGAAAGTTCTTGAAATTGAATCTTATTCCTGATTTTTGGAAAGCTCCTTTATCTCTGTGGACTCCTTATCTGTAAAATGAAATAGTGACAATAAAGTTCCTTTTAGGTCTGATTAGAACTCCTGAATTTTTAAATGTGAGGGATTAGTGGCTATTGAAATTTTTAGGAGGAGGCAATGCATTTTTTTGAAGATTTATTTATTTATGCATACAAAACCTGGGATACAGGCCAGAGGTGGGGGGAGGTGAGCGGATTCACTAGAGTGGGAAACAAAACAGGTGGATTGACTGAAATACACTGCTGAGGGGAGCAGCGGGCGAGACAGGAGAGGTGTGCTGAGCCTTGTGGGTTAGCTCCCTGGTTGGGGATTGAACTCCTGCTGTGGATAGCTTCATAGTGCTGAGACATAACCCCTTGCGCCACCAGGGAGGCCCAAGGAGGCAACACATTTAACTTGCTTTACTTTTATATGTAGATCATGGAAGGGAAATGGTTGCTGTGTATATTACTAGTCCTTGGAACGACTATCATTCAGGCTCATGATGGACATGAAGACGATGTTATTGATATTGAGGATGCCCTTGATGATGTCATTGAAGAGGTGGAAGACTCAAAACCGAAACCAGATATCAGCACTCCTCCATCTCCCAAGGTTTGAAATTTAGTCTTTGAATCTCTTCCTTTTACTCTAGACATAATTAAAGGATAAAGGTAAATTTGGATCCTTTGTAAAGGGAAAGCAAAGTTACCTTAACTATGTATCTCTCTGGTAGCCTTTGCTATCTCTTTCCATAGATAACTTATATGTATTGAATTTGAGAGTCAGCCATGAAAGTTTTATAATTCAAAGCAAATCAAGACAATAAATTCTAAGAAAGGAATGTTGCTGAAAATTTCTTAATTTTAATTCATTTTAATATTTAACACAGGTTACCTATAAAGCTCCAGTTCCAACAGGGGAAGTATATTTTGTCGATTCCTTTGATAGAGGAACTCTATCAGGGTAAGTGTTTCCTGGGGGGAAAAATCTTAGAGGCAAACATCATGTATTTAAGATAGAATAATGAGTTCCTTTTGGGATAGCATCTTATTTATGTCTAAATAACTATTTTATATTTCCAATATCCATGCCTGGTTAGAGAAACAGTAACTTTGGAACATGTTTTTCTCTCTTACATAACTTTGCCACATCCACCCTATATTTTGTTCTTTGGAAAGAAAATTATCCTCTTGAATCTTAAAAACAGAAAGTGGAATTATTGCATGGCTTTGTATTTTTCTTATAGGTTTATAAAGTAGACAGGTATTCAAGTTTTACTTTGAAATTTTCTTGAAATTGAATCTTTTTCCTGATTTTTAGGAAAGCCCCTTAATCTCTCTGGACTCTTTATCTATAAAATGAAATAGTCACAGTAAAGTTCCTTTTAGGTCTGATGAGAACCCCTAAATTTTTAAATGTGAGGGATTGAGTATAGTATATTATCACTACTTCTGTGGCAGATTTAAAAGTTGAAAGTAGAGAGCCTAAGTAGGTTAAGAAGAGCAGGATAAATCCTGCTTTTATTATTTACGTTGTTTTCATAGGCCAAGTATCATGTGGGTCTTAACTTGGGGGTTTGTCTTAATTACAGGTGGATTTTATCCAAAGCCAAGAAAGATGACACTGATGATGAAATTGCTAAATATGATGGTGAGCATTCCATTTCATTTAGATATAATAACAGATTGAGATTTGATGTCTCCATGGCATTCTTAAGACTGTTTTAAAAGAGGTATACAATTTTAAGATATTTCCTTGGAAATTTTGCTCTTTTCTATGTTCTATTATAATGTACGAGGTTAAATTTGTTTACAGTTTTTTAATACCATAAAACTGAAAGATAATTTATCACGTAGGTGTTTTATGTTGGAAATGGAAGGTCTTTTCTAGGCACTGGTAAATGGAATATGCTACGAGTTTTTATAAAAACATAATATTAGTAAGCCAACTCATAGGTAAATGGAATATGTGAAATATTTATAGGTGTAATGGACTCATACAACTTGGAGTTTTGTTTGTTACCATTTAAAAGATCTTCAAAAGTGTAGTTGAAGAGTGGAACTTTTTTTGTTGTTGTAGGAAAATGGGAGGTAGATGAAATGAAGGAAACAAAGCTTCCAGGAGATAAAGGACTTGTGTTGCTGTCTCGGGCTAAGCATCATGCCATCTCTGCTAAATTGAACAAGCCCTTCCTGTTTGATACCAAACCTCTTATTGTTCAGTAAGTGAAATGTTGACATCATGGAAGCTTTGTAGGAAGGATGAACTCAGAAGATATAATATAAATCTATTATTTTATGTAAAAATATTATGAGAATAATTGTGTGTTGTAATAGGGATCTTTGGTTATAAAGATACAGTGTATACTCTAATACTTTTTTCCTGTCCAATAAATTATTATGCAACAAACTGGCTTTACAGCTCCTGATAGCAAGTAAAATTTTGGGAGCGGGGGTTCTACAGAAAGTATTTATTGGGAATCTGTGTGCAGGTTTATTTTATTTACATATTTTTGTGGGGTTGGTGGTCATTCAAAAGCAACAGAAGATGAAATCTTTTGTAAAAATAAATTGACAAGGGCCTCTCCGGTGGCACAGCGGTTGAGCGCTGGGTTGCGAAGCTGCCCACAGCCTCTGCAGCGCTGGTTCGATCCCCGGCTGCTCCCCGGCCTCCGGAGGAGGGTCCCACATGGCGCGCAGACCTCTCCTGCTGCCCGCTGCTCCCCTCAGCAGTGTTCTTCGGTCCTTCTGCCTGCTCTGCTCCCCACTCTGGCTCTGGTGAATTCTCTCACCCTCTCGCGCTTCTGACTGTACCCAGTGCTTGTATGAATGAATAAATAAATAAATCTTTTTCTAAACATCAATAAATAAATAAATAGACAAGCTGTTGTAATAAAAGCATGTGGCCAAGGAGGGGAAATGGGGAAATAAAGAAATTGGATCTTTCAAAATGGTTTTTTGTTTCTCCCTCTGAAATTAGGTATGAGGTTAATTTCCAGAATGGAATAGAATGTGGTGGTGCCTATGTGAAACTGCTTTCCAAAACCTCAGAACTCAACCTGGTAGGTGCTTCTTTATTTATGGTCACCTGCATTTACCTTTTAAGAATCTAAGAGAAAGGGAAAGAAATTTTTTTAAGACCTGTGAAGATAGTCCTCCTGCCCTGTTATTGAATATTTTGGACAGTTAGGAACAGTTACTTGATAGTTCTGTGCTTTTTATTTGAAATATGAATTTCAGAGCAATTTTGTCTGGTTTCTGTTCTGTGAAACCTTTAGTTCTAGCAAACTTTGTTTTGTGAAATAACTTATCTAGATATATGCATAACTTCTTTTTTTGTTTACATTTTCACATAAAATTTCCTGGCAGCTACTGGTTATTCTCTCTCACAAACCTCATAAATGAGGTTTTCCTTATTTATGTGTGACACTAAGTTATTTGCAGTTTTATAAGAGGAATTAAAAATTTTTTGAAAGATTGCTTTTGAACACCTGACTGGAATAAATTAAAATAATCCATTTTTGTTTCTGAAGGATCAGTTCCACGACAAGACTCCTTATACAATTATGTTTGGCCCAGATAAATGTGGAGAGGACTATAAATTGCACTTCATCTTCCGACACAAAAATCCCAAAACAGGTGTATATGAGGAAAAACATGCAAAGAGGCCAGATGCAGATCTGAAGACCTATTTTACAGATAAGAAAACACATCTTTATACTTTAAGTAAGCAAAACTTCATAATTTGGGGTTTTATGACACTGTATGTTTGTCATTCATTCAGTTTAAAGTTTGCACATCTGGAGAAGGCCTATACCTGCATAGAGTCTCCATTGGCTTAATAACTTAACTGGGGAACTAAATTTCTCAGCATTGAAAACTTCTCTTGATAGGTTGAATTGATAACTGAGGTTTGTGAGACCAATTTAAGAAAAAAGTTTTATGTCCTATGAAGAGCTTCTTTGGTGATCTCTCTCCTTTCTTCCCTTTGTTTATTATCTTGATAAAATGCTAAATAATAGGATATGCAACAGAAATATATGTATAGTTTTTTCAAATTTTAATTGAACTTGGTTTGGATGCTCTAATAACTGGACAATTGCATTTAATAATTTAGACATTGGAATGGGTTTTTTCAGTGAAACTTGTCCTGCTGGTTTGAGGTCATTAAGACATCCCCCTTTTCCTAAAGAATGTGATAACTTTTTCCTTTATAGTAAAAATAGTACACAGTATAGAAATTCAGAAGATGGGAACCTATAAAGAGACATTTAAAATAATCTGAAATGTCAGCATTGTGATATTTTGCCGTACGTGAATAAATGCATGAGTGTATAAATAAACATAACTTGTATTTAAGTGTTAAGTAGGCTATATTTCGCTTGTCTTAACTTCCTGGATAGTGCGTATCATTTATAACATCGCTGATCTTGAACATCTCTGAGGTCAACAGACTAGTATTCTATTACCTGTCAGTATTCTGGGTATACTCTGGACCTAGTCAGTTGCCTGTCAGACTTAAGGTGTGGGAACAGGTTTTATTATAAGTCATGCATGAGGTAACCATTATGGATTTAAAACTGTTTCCATTCTTCATGACACTTCAGAAATACAACTACAAGTAGACATGGTTTAACAAATAGATTTTGTATAATTTGAAAATTTTTGGTAATTTGCATGTTGACTGTGTATGACCATATGTGGTAGATCAATATTGTCTAAGTTTATGTACCTTTCGTTTTTTTGTCTTAGTTTCTAAAAACCTGAAGAACTAACATTTGTGGTTTACAGATTACATAATGAGAATTAGCTTCCTATGGTCCCAAGACCATGTTCTTACTAATACCTAAGTGTATACTCCATACTCCACAACTTCTATTAGAAGTCATGGTCTTTTTGTGTTGTGGCAAAGAGACCTAGGGAATGAGTGGTTAATTAACTCTTCTTAATTGCATTTGAATGTTTTTTCAGTTTTAAATCCAGATAATAGTTTTGAAATATTAGTGGACCAATCTGTTGTGAACAGTGGAAATCTGCTAAATGACATGACTCCTCCTGTAAATCCTTCACGTGAAATTGAGGATCCTGAAGACCAGAAGCCAGAGGATTGGGATGAGAGACCAAAAATACCAGATCCAGATGCTGTGAAACCAGATGACTGGTAAGTCTTTGGGACTAGACTTTGAGTGCAAGGGAGCATTTCATATATTACATGTGACTTGAACAACTGAATGTTGGTGGAGATATGATAATTTAGGTAGTCTATGATATGGTCTAAAGGTAGGGAATATTGTAGCTAAGTATAGCTGAAAGGTAACCATAATGATCATCCAATGGCCTTGTGCTATTTTATAAGCCATAGAATGCTACAGTTGGTGATAGTGAGTTTGCAGCAAACCCTGTTGGCCTGATCTTCTTTCCAAAGCTTTTATGAATTTTCTTATTAAAAAAAAAGATATATTTATGCATACAAGAGCTGGGGTACAGGCCAGAGATGTAGGGGGTGAGAGGATTCACCAGAGACAAGAGCGGGGAACAGAACAGGCAGATTGACTGAAGTACACTACTGAGGGGAGCAGCGGGCGAGTCAGGAGAGCTCTGCTGTGCCATGTGGGTTGCTCCCTGGCCAGCCGGGAATCGAACTCATGCTGCAAAGGCTATGGATTGCTTCATAGTGCAGTGCTTAACCCCTTGCGCCACCAGGGAGGCCCAGCTATTATGAATTTTCATTTAAAGCTGGAATCCTGAAATTTTCAACCCTACTGAAAAATAACATTTTTCATATTTAAATAATATTTAGGACATCTCTGCTCCATGTTGGGCAGTGGATTACAAAGCCACAAGGATACCAACTGCCCACATAGAGCTCCCAATTCAGTTATGAGATAGGTAAATGAATTTGGCATGCTACAGTAAGTATTTAATTAGAAGGTGTTACCTGGTGATCAGCATGGCAAATTAAATTGAGACTTGAAAGGGCAATAATTAACTAAGTGATGAAGGCGGGAAATGGTATTCCTGATTAAAGAAGAATATTGTGTTCAAAATAGTAGAGGAGCAAGAGTGAACTTGACCTATGTGACAGAAATTGAGGCTATATAACCTTTTATAAAAGTAGGATACAAATTGGCAAGTGATGAAAATAAATTGGGTTGTATTCTTGTCTATGGCCGTGTGTGAGCTTAAGTACAGTGAATTTCAGAATTGCAGAAAGTGAACAAAGAGAAATGATAAAACTGTTGTTCCTTTTGTAATAAAAGTGCCTTCTTAGATTAGCAGTTAAATTCTAGTTGATGCTTTTCTTATGTTAAAGTTTTAAGGTATGTGTACCTGAACTTTAGGCTGCACTAGTGTAATACCAATTTATTTCTGTATTTGGTAAACTCTAGATTTGGACTAAGCCTGGTTTAACATTGTATTCCTTTTTTTTTTTTTTAAAGATTTATTTATACAAGAACTGGGGTACAGTCAGAGGCGCGGGAGGGTGAGATAATTCACCAGAGACAGAGTGGGGAGCAGAACAGGCAGACAGACTGAAGACACTACTGAGGGGAGCAGTGGGTGAGGCAGGAGAGGTCTGCCGCGCCATGTGGGTTTCTCCCTGGCCGGCCAGGAATCAAACCCGCACTGCAGAGGCTGCAGACAGCTTTACAGTGCTGCGCTCCACCCGCTGCACCACCAGGGAGGCCCAAGATTGTATTCTTTAGCTAGCTATTTTATTTGGGTAGGAGAGGTGTGAATGTGCAGTGTAAAAAGGTCAATTGAATGCGATTCAAGTTTGAGTTCTCTCACACACTTAATTTAAAACTAGCATAATGCAAAACCAAGCAAAATCCTGACCAAGGAGAGAAGTCTTTGTTTACCAACTGAAGGGCACCAACTGAGTTGTTTTACAGCAACTCCTTAAAACTTTGAAATTAGGTACTTCTTTTTTTTAAGATTTATTTTTATTTATGCATCCAAGAACTGGGGTGTAGGCCAGAGGTGTGGGGGCTGGCTAAAGGATCCATCAGACAGAGTGGGGAGCAGAACAGGTAGATCTACTGAAATACACTGCCAAGGGGAGCAGTGGGCAAGATAGGAGAGGTCTGCTGCACCATGTGGGTTAGCTCCTTGGCCAGGGATCAAACTCGTGCCTCATTGGCTGGCTATAGCTTGATAGCACTGAAACTTAACCCCTGCACCACCAGGAAGGTCCCAGAAATTAGGTACTTTTTAACGATCTCTTAATTAGGAATACCTGTTTCAAGTATAATTGACATACTAAAAATCCACTCTTTTAAAGTATATAAATAAGTGGTTTAGTATATTTATTGTTTTGAAATCATCACCATTGTTTAATTCTAGAGCATTTTACAACCCCAAAAATCCATACCCTTTAAGCAGTTACTCCTTGTTTCTCCCTTCTGTCAGCCCCTGGCAACCACTTGTTTACTTTCTGTCTTTATCTGAACATGTAATAATGTATATTTGACCCTTTGAATGTGACTTTTGTCACGGTCCATCCATGTTGATGGATGTATCTGTACTTTATTTCTTCTTATGAGTAATATTCCCTTGTTCATTTTATTTGTCCCTTCCTTAGTTGATTGATATTTGGATAGTTTCCTCCTTTTGGCTATAATTATATTACTGCTGTTACTATCCATATGTGGGTTTTTTGGTGAATATGCATTTTCATTTCTCTTAGGTATGTATTGCAGAGTGGAATTGCAGGTCTGTGATAAGTATGGTAACTGTTCAATTTTTTGAGAAACTTTTTTTTTTCCAGAATGATTGCACCACTTTCCCACAGCAATATTTTGGGGTTTCATTTTCTCCCCATTCTTGCCAATACTTTTTTTATCAGTCATTTTTGTTAGCCATCCTAGTGGATGTGAAGTCATGTTATTGTGATTTTGATTTGCATTTTGCTGATGATTAATGATGTCAGTCATCTTTTCTTGTGCTTATGTTTGTATATCTTTGGAGAAATGTCCTTTCAGATTTTTTGCCAGTTTTTAAATGGGGCTTGTCTTTTTATTTATTTTTTTCCTAAATTTATTTTTATTTATGCATACAAGAACTGGGGTACAGGCCAGTGGTGTGAGGGGTGAGAGGATTCACCAGAGACAAAGTAGGGAACAGAATGGGGCAGATTGACTGAAATACACTGCTGAGGGAAGCAGTGGGCTATTTAGGAGAGGTCTGCCATGCCATGTGGCTAGCTCCCTGGCCAGGGATTGAACTCATGCTTCAGTGACTGTGGACAGCTTCATAAAAGGTTGCATCTTAACCCCTTGCACCACCAGGGTGGCCAGGGCTTGTGTTTTTATTATTGAGTCATAAGAGTTCTTTATGTATGCTGGATAACTAGGACCTTATTAGATACCTGATTTAGGAATTTTTTTTTATGAGAAATTACTTTAAATTCTGAGAGTAAGCAAGTCCTAAATATTTTTTATGTTGTAGGTTCACGAAATGAGAAACACCTTGTGATTCTCTGGTGAGTATTGTCACAACTAATTTTTTCTTATGTATTTAAGGGATGAAGATGCCCCTGCTAAGATTCCAGATGAAGAGGCCACAAAGCCTGAGGGCTGGTTAGATGATGAGCCTGAATATGTACCTGATCCAGATGCGGAGAAACCAGAGGATTGGTAAGAGCCTTAGTCAACTTTTAAAATTGTCTGCTCTTTTTTTGAAATAAGAGTTAATAATTAAGCACAGTGCCCAAACTTCAGTGTGGAGCTCAACAGATTTAATTATATTTTCATCCTTCTCTTTCTCTCTCTCTTTTTTTTAAGATTTATTTATTTATATAAGCACTGGGTACAGTCAGAAGCGCGGGAGGGTGAGAGTGTTCACCAGAGCCAGAGTGGGGAACAGAACAGGCAGACTGACGAAATACACTGCTGAGGGGAGCAGTGGGCGCGGCAGGAGAGGTCTGCGCGCCATGTGGGACCCTCGCCAGTGGCCAGGGATCGAACCGGCGCTGCAGAGGCCGCAGGCAGCTTTGCAGCCCAGTGCTCAACCGCTGCGCCACCAGGGGAGGCCCCTTCTCTCTTTTTTTTAATGCATCTGTCTTGAAAACGCTGGTTACTGAAAATGTAGAAACAAAATGATGCTCTATAGTACGACACTGAAAGCATTCTTGCATGATTTCAGGGGAACCCTGGTTTGGCCTTTATAGTCTAGCATTATAGAGCTCATTGGTAATTTGTTCATATCTCCACAGGGATGAAGATATGGATGGAGAATGGGAGGCTCCTCAGATTGCCAATCCTAAGTGTGATTCAGCCCCAGGGTGTGGTGTGTGGCAGCGACCTATGATTGACAATCCCAGTTATAAGGGCAAATGGAAGCCTCCCATGATCGACAATCCTAACTACCAGGTTTGTGCCTTTCAGTGATTGAAATACTTTGTTAATCTGTTGCTTGTAATGAAGCTGTCAGGTTGATCATTGTATTCAAACTGCTGAATTAAAAACAGTAAATTTCATAAATTGAGAGGAAGTTTCATTTGTTAAGTGTTGAAAAGATAAATCTAGAAAGTGGAAAAGGCTTTGATAATTGCTTTGTAACTTATCTTTAAAAACAAAGAAAAGAAAAATGCAAGACCTGTGTCATATAGGCACTCTGCTATTGTTTGGTGGGGTGCTTCAGCCACAGGATCCCAACTAGCAATCTGTGTAATTGGGTGGATAGAGGAGTGTGATGGGAGATAGTTCTCCCCGACAGGTCAGCTCATTACTTGACCTCATTGTCTTAAACTGTAAAAAGACTGAGGCTCAAATGAGGTGATTAGAATTAAGGTAGTGATGTTACCAAGCTTAAAGTTTATGTGGACGGGGCCTCCCCGGTGGCGCAGTGGTGAAGCACTGGGTTGCAAAGCTGACCGCAGTCTGCAGCGCCTGTTCGATCCCCAGCTGCTCCCCAACCACCGGAGGAGGGTCCCACATGGTGCGCAGACCTCTCCTGCCGCCCGCTGCTCCCCTCAGCAGTGTGCTTCGGTCCTTCTGCCTGCTCTGCTCCCCGCTTTGGTTCTGGTGAATTCTCTCACCCTCCCGCGCTTCTGACTGTACCCAGTGCTTGTATAAATAAATAAATAAATCTTTAAAAAAAAAGTTTATGTGGACATGTAGCCACTCAGATATATGGTCTCTCTTCTAACTCTATCCTAGTCAAATTATTATTTTTTTAAATATTTATTTATTTACTTATTTATACAAGCACTGGGTACAGTCAGAAGCTTAGGAGGGTGAGAGAATTCACCAGAGCCAGAGCGGGGAGCAGAGCAGGCAGAAGGACCGAAGCACACTGCTTGAGAGGAGCAGCGAGCAGCAGGAGAGATCTGTACGCAATGTGGGACCCTCCTCCAGTGGCCAGGGAGTAGCCAGGGATCGAACCAGCACTGCAGAGGCTGCGGGCAGCTTTGCAACACAGCGCTCAACCACTGCACCACCAGGGAGGCCCTGGTCAAATTATTTATAATCAATAATTTCAACTTATTTTGTCTCACTTTAAAATGTGTAGGTCTGTGTCTGTATATATGCACTATGTGTGTACTTTTCTGTTTTTAAATATAGTTTTGACTGTGTGGGTAAATAAGATAAATTTAAAATTGCCCTTTTAAAAAAAATAGTTTAATTCTGTGAATGATCATTTCGGTAGATTGCATTTTCGCTTTTAGTGTCTTTGCTGCAGTAATCATTCTTGTACATGTCTGGTTACAGGTAGTAATTATTTCATTAGGTAGTTATCTAGAAGTGAAATTACTTGTTGAAAATTATGTACGTTTTAAAGTTTGGTGGTTTTTTTTTTTTCCTTTATCCATACAAGAGCTGGGGTATACGCCAGAGGTGTGTAGTTGTGGGGAAAGGGGATTGTGTGAGAGGATTCACCAGAAACAGAGTGGGGAGTAGAACAGGCGGACTGACTGAAATACACTGATGAGGGGAGCAGCGGGCAAGTCAGGAGAGGTCTACTGTGCCGTATGGGTTAGTTCCCTTGACGGGGATCAAACTTGTGCCGCGGTGGTTGCCGATAGCTTCATAATGCTGAGACTTGATCCCTTGCACCACCAGGGAGGGCCAATTTTATACATTTTAAATCACCTCTGAAATCTGTACTGAAGAAGTTGTCCTGCCCCCACAAGCAGTTGATAAAAGTGGAGGCTGTTGGAATGTGCCAAACAGAGTGAGGTCTTTTAAACCTAGTTAATTTTCACAGTCAGTGCTTTTCTTCATGGGTCTTGCAGAATTTATCTCATAGTAGCTTCACCATAAATTTGTGCTGTTACTTCAAATAATTTAAAAATCTTTTTCTCTAGGGAATCTGGAAACCACGGAAAATACCAAATCCAGATTTCTTTGAAGATCTGGAACCTTTCAGAATGACTCCTTTTAGTGCTATCGGTTTGGAACTGTGGTCCATGACCTCAGACATTTTTTTTGACAACTTTATCATTTGTGGCGATCGAAGAGTAGTTGATGATTGGGCCAATGATGGTTGGGGTCTAAAGAAAGCTGCTGATGGGGCTGCTGAGGTTTGTGCTTCCTTGTTTCTTGCATGTTTATATTGTTATTGCAGGTAATTTCAACTTTAGTGAAAAGCTCTTTGTCACAATTTTCCCTTATTTGAGACTGTGCTAAAGATAAAATACTAGGGTTTTTGACATGATCTCATCAGTTTAATGTAATTAGCATTTTCAGAGCCTCAATTGTGTTTTATGTAGCACTTTCTAAATTGTGTTAAAACTGAACAAAGTTTTTTTTTTTTAATTTATTTTTATTTTTTTTTATAGAGGCATGCTTTATTTATTTGTTTGCTGGTTTGTTTGTTTGTTTTGTTTATACATGCACTGGGTACAGTCAGAAGTGCGGGAGGGTGAGAGAATTCACCAGAGCCAGAGCGGGGAACAGAGCAGGCAGAAGGACCCAAGTACACTGCTGAGGGGAGTAGCGGGCGGCAGGAGAGGTCTGCGCACCATGTGGGACCCTCCTCTGGTGGCCGGGGAGCAGCCAGGGATCGAACCGGCGCCGCAGAGGCCGCGCGCAGCTTCGCAACCCAGCGCTCAACCGCTGCGCCACCGGGGAGGCCCAAAACTGAACAAAGTTTTTAACAAATTCTTAAACATTGATTCTTGGTTTAACCATTATATGGAATTTTCAAACAATCATGTGACCGAGCTGTGAATTGGAGATCCAGAGACACTGAAATCAAGAAATTCTTGAGTTCACCGGTTCCTGAGATATTTGGTTCCTGCAGTAATCATTGAGGTTAAGGGAATCTTATGCATATGATTTAGTAGCTTTCACACTTAAGAAGGGGGAAATCACTTTTAAGAAAAGAGAGCAGGAAAACTGAAGTCTTTTTACTTCCTTCTTACATTGTATGAACATCTTAGCTTGATGAGTCTTTGGAAAAAGGATCCAGAGTATATAGTAATCAAACAGTTGGAACAGTGCAGCCTATATTTGGTGTCTAAAGTCAGAATTTGAAATTGGTTTTATCTTGCTTTTCAGCCTGGTGTAGTGGGGCAGATGATCGAGGCAGCTGAGGAGCGCCCCTGGCTGTGGGTAGTCTACATTTTGACTGTAGCTCTACCTGTATTTCTCGTTATCCTCTTTTGCTGTTCTGGAAAGGTATGGATTTTTTGGGGGAAGGGGGTAGAGTAGGATGTTCACTTTTAGGAAGAACTCTTACATGTTAAGGTTTTCTGGCAATGACTAGGCTACATTTGGTATGGACTTCTGAATCCTTATTCATTGTGGTCATTTACTGTGCCCATGTGGGAGTAGGATTTGTAACTCCTCAGTTTCTAAGCCCACTATATTACTATCCTTAATATCCAACAGCAGCTTTCCGAAGGGAAAAAACTTAGCTATGAAAGCAACCATCTGGATGCAAACTAGTTTTTCCTCCTGGCATAGCTGTTTTTATTCTCATACTTTATAATTTGATCTTTGATTTCTCATCTGTTTCTCCCTAACTTCCCTATCCTTCCCCCCTAAAAAAAAACATGTGGGGGTGAAATATTTAATTTTTGGTTAAATTAAGTTTTTGGTTAGCCCTTGTTGCTTGCAGTTTTAAAAAAGAGACTATTTTGTTTAAGGGCTTAGCTTCTGAAGGAGGATTATGGTTCACTTTGCATTCAAGGTAGCTTGTAACCTGATCTCCATCTCTTTTCCCAGCCCTAACCATCACCACTATTCTGTCTATCTGTGCTCAGTTACTTTGACTGTTTAGACCTACACATTCCTGCCTTTCTTCTTAGTGATCATTCTACCCTTGACCCATACTCACCAAAGAGAAAGCTCTCAGAAAAGGAATTACATCTCACTCATGTCTGTGTGTCTTTTCAGTATATACCCTGCTACAGAGCTTTGCTCAGTGGCAATCGCTAATTATATGATAATGTAATACATAAAAATGTAAACAAAATTGTGTTTGGGGACTGTTTCAGAAACAGTCCAGTCCTGTGGAATACAAGAAGACTGATGCTCCACAACCAGATGTAAAGGAGGAAGAAGAGAAGGAAGAGGAAAAGGACAAGGGAGACGACGAGGAGGATGCTGAAGAGAAACTTGGTAAGAAGCAGGTGTTAGTATACTTGCCAAGACCGAGATGATGTCAAACCCTTATAAGCACGTTACTATAAAAATGGGCTTTAGAGGTTTGTTCTAATTGTCTAATTACCAAAAACAACAAAATGTAAGAAATTAAATTTTCTTCTTAGAAGAGAAGCAAAAAAGTGATGCTGAAGAAGATGGTGGCACTGTCAGCCAAGAGGAAGAAGATAGAAAACCTAAAGCAGAGGTAAGAGAAGGGGGGAGTACATCTAGGTTGAAAGTATATTAAGTGGCAGGGAGTATTTTCATGGGGTACTGTTCAGTGGCTATGACAGTAAAAAATCAAAGCCAATTTTGTAAAAGTGGAATTCTTAGTAATATAGTTTATTTGATACTTTTGAATTACATCAGAACCTGACATCTATTTTTCTGTGGTGAAATGGCTTTCTGGAATAAGTTGAAGGTTGCAGGAAACACTAATAAAATGCATTTTATCAGGAAACACTGATAAAATGGCAACTTCAGACTATTATTTAACAGTTCTGTCTCTTCCTTCTTATTGTCTCCTCCAAAAGCATTTCTTGAACAAAACACTGCATTCTAAAATTTTTGTCCATGTTACTCACAGTTTATCATTCATTTAACAAATGTTTGTGCAGTGCCCACCTATTTGCCAAGTATTGCTTGCTTTTGGGGACTGAATTGTGTGTAAATTCTAGTGGGACGATCAGATAATAAGCATAGACATTAGAAGAAAGTAAATGAAAATGGTATGTTACAAAGCAATACTCTGAAAAATACAGGGCTGGAGAAGATTGGAAGTATTGAAGGTGGTGTTGGTTGCAGAGTTAAAGATAATTGGCTTTGTTGAAGAGTTGACATTTGAGCAAAGACTTGAAAAATTAAGGATTTTGCCATGGAAATGACCATAGGAAGAACATTCCTAGCAAAGAAGAGCAGCTGGTACAAAGGTGTATGTATAGTGGTCGTCTGGAAGGCCAGTATGATCAGCAGAGGAGAGTCAGAGAAAAAAGAGAGTGGGGAAGGCTCCTGATGTGTGGGGCTGCCTAGGCAATTGTGTGGGCTTGGCTTCTCTCTTAATCTGTATTCTGCACTACTCTAATCTAGAGGCGATACTGGCTATGATTGGCTTTATAGCTAACCCGTCAAAGAAAAATAATGCTGTTAGTGTCTAGCACCAATTCTTGTCAAATAGGCAGGCTTTGGGGTCATAGGAACAGGATCTGATGATGCTGTATGCTGTGTTTTCTATAGACTAAGGAGAATCGAGGAAATTAATTAGAAGGCTGGTGTAATAATCCAGGCAAGATGTGGTGTCTCTGAGCAGGAGGAGGATGTGAGAACTTGTTGGGCTTCTCGATCTGGCTTTTCTGGTTGGATTGGTTGTTTTTTGTTTGTTTTTTTTAAGATTTACTTTATTTATTTATGCATACAAGAGCTGGAGTGCAGGCCAGAGGTGTAGGGGGTGGGGGGAAGGTGAGAGGATTCACCAGAGATAGAGTTGGGAGCAGAACAGGCAGATTGACTGAAATATACCACTGAGGGGAGCAGCGGGCAAGACAGAAGAGGTCTGCTGTGCTGTGTGGGTTAGTGCTGTAGTGGCGTGGATAGCTTGATAATACTGAGACTTAACCCCTGTGCCACCAGGGAGGCCCTGGATTGGCTTTAAAGTCTGAGGGAAAGAAAGTACTTTTCCTTACCAAGGTCCCCTTTCCACCCAAGAGTTGTTCCTTTCTGGGAAACTTTCCATTTTCTTCCACCACAATTTTATTGATGTCCTCACTCGTGTTTTCCTTGTATATAATCTGTTTCAACTAAAATGCAGAGTTGATCTTTCAGGTAGGGACCAATTTCACCTTTTTTATATTTCCCCAAACTGCCTTTTACAAGTTGCTGTTTGCAGTAGGAAGAGCCCTGGGTTTGCAGTGTGGAGTATTTTGTGGAACCCTCATTGGAAAGTCTTTACTCCCCATGAATCCTAACTTCCTCAGCCTCAAAATGGGGCTACTGTGCCCACAGGCCAGAAGATTAATTAGGATTAAATGAGAACATATGAGAACATGGTAGCTGGCCTTTTTAAAGAAAATGTGTATGGGTTAGGCTGGATGAGAAAAAGTACATTTTTTTTTTTTTTAAGATTTATTTTATGCATACAAGAACTGGGGTACAGGCCAGAGGTGTGGGGGTAGGGGGGGTGAGAGGATTCATCAGAGACAGAGTGGGGAACAGAACAGGCAGATCCACTGAAATACACTGCTGTGGGGAATAGCAGGCGAGTCAGGAGAGGCCTGTTGTGCCATGTGGGTAGCTCCCTGGCTGGGGATTGAATTTGTGCTGCAGTGGCTGTAGATAGCTTCATAGGTTGCAACTTAATCCCTTGCACCACCAGGGAGGCCCGAAAAAGTACATGTTTATAGAAAACAAAAAAGACTAAATTAGAACACACCTAATACCACCACCTCTGAGGTGATCATTGTTTTGGTGCGTTTTCTTCTATTTTGGCTTTTCTTGTGTTTTCTTTATATGGGTTATGCTTAGCCTGACTGGTCTTGAAAACTAGTGCATTTGTTATTTTTAAAATACGCTAATTATACTGAATTTCTTTTTTTTAACCAACAGGAGGATGAAATTTTGAACAGATCACCAAGAAACAGAAAGCCACGAAGAGAGTAAAACAATCTTAAGAACTTGATCTGTGATTTCCTCTCCCTCCCTTTCCCCTTCAAGTATGGTCCCAGGAGAGGACCTGGCACACCTTAGGTTGAAACTCAGAAAACCTCCAGACGTCACCATCAACAGGTTCCAGTTGAACACTAGCCCGTGTAATTTTAAACATCTAGCAGTAAATAATTGCACTTGTGACATAAGGACCCTGTTTCTGTAGAAAGAAAGTATTTAACATAATGGTTGTGAAACATGAAGCAACTAACTTGTATTTTTTTGTTTCTAAACATCTTTGTTTTTTAAAAATAGATAGAACTTTGCCGATCTTTAAAATCTTGGCTTAATTTAATATATTAGTCTGTCCATGCAGAAATAACACCAACCTTTAGAAATGCTAGGGGGGTGAATTGCAGTTTTTATAACCAATTCTGTTTTTTAAGTTTGGTATTGCAGAACTTTCAAGTGTCTCTGTCCCTTAAAATTGATGATCATGTTGAAAGTGCAGTCATTTGTGGTTAAAATCTTGTTTTGCTTGCTTCCATTACTCAGTTCCTTGTAAGGAAACAGAGGAGAGGGATTGGATGGAAATCCAAATTCATATAAAGGTTCTGTTTAAATTGTATGAAAAACAGACATAAAAAAAAACAAAAAACCTTTAAACTTGATCTTGATTAGACCATGAAGTATGTATTTTCCATTGTCCTCAGAACAGCTCAGTTCCCAGATGCTGTGCAGTTAGTGGAGGAGGTAGCATCATGTGTCACAGGGCTTTCATATTTCACACACCAGGAGGGTATAGGCTCCTGCCTTCTTGAACAGGTAGCTTTTTATGAAACGCTAGCAGGGCATGTGAGCTCTAGAATAGATGCCGATGTTTTCATCACTTCTTTCACTGTGTTGACACTTTTCTTACTACTTCCTTCAATTCCCAGAGCTTTCTCCTCTGCTATGCATTTTCTTCACAGTGCAGCTTGCAGTCCAATGCTGAAAATAATTATAAGCTCTGCATAGTGTTAAGCTTTATTGTGATTATGTGTATGTTTCTTCCTTTAAAAGCAGACCCACACCTTTCCAGGGTCAAAATACAGGACAGAATACTACCTTTCATTTTGATCCATTTTTTTCACTCTGTGTAAAGACTTACAAGTCTAATCCAGAGGCTAGCCAATTCAGAATTGAACATAATTGAACACAGGCTGAAAGTATTTATGGGAGAAGTGACGATTAGCATGAGTTATCTGATTTTTGTAGCTGCTAAACCTTTTGTCTTCATTTGCAGTTCATGTAACAGTTGTGTCTTAAATTACACGATAAAGCAGTCCTGTTAAATTTTTTTTTTTAGTTAGTATGTGGCTTGTAGGAATTTTTTAAAAAGTGATCTTAGGTTTTTGTTATTTCTTTTGGGATGCAGATGGGTGCTATCAGAGCCTCTCCCCCATCATTATAGTGTAATAATATCACTATTACACCACACTGAAATGTATTCAGAATTAGATGTTGTTTTAGCTTTATTCTTCAGAGGTGTTTCAAATGTACCGATGATACTGTTCTTGCACTGAATATATAAACACTCCAGAGTGTTTATATCGGGGAGATAATGGGGAGGAAGTATATTCATAAAAAATGAAGGCTGTATCTGTTTATCTTCAAGTTTTTACTAGTTCCCTTAAATTTTTATGAGGGTGGGATGCATTTTTCTTGCTCTTCAGTGCTTTATCTTTTCATCTATTGTCTGTGGTCATAGTGACCTTAGCTATGTAGCAGATTTTTCCCAGATGTATTGAGTACAAATAAACAATTACTTAGCAAGACCTGAAAATATGTCTGCAGGTTTCTCCTTGAAGCAAGAGTGTGGAATCTATTGCATTTCCAGAAATTGCCTTCACGATCCTCTGATGTTGTATTTCATGCCTCACAGTTTCTTTCCAGCTGAGCTGTGGAATGAGCAGTTTGAATCAATGGTGTGTTTATTTGCTTTTCCATGGTTATTTGGCAAGGTTTGTCCCCCAAAAAGAAGTCTCTTTTTCACTGTTTTTGTTTAAAGGTATCCAGCCTCCTAATTGTCTGACACATTAATGAATGACCAGCAGCAGTGTTCAGCTATCAAAAAGGCACTTACGTTATGATTTTACATGCTGGTTATCTGTCCCATTGTTGTAAAATGTTCCCTCAATCAGTTGTTTTGCTCAGTTTCTCTTACCCACAAAATCTCCCCATTTTTCTCAAACTGTCACATTACTAAATGGTATTACATTAAAGCCCTGTGTTGTGTCTCCTTTTGACTGAACTTCTTCGTAGTAACCTTCAGTTTGTGTTTTGCTCTTTCAATAATGGGTTAATATTTTAATTGACCTGCATGAAAGTTTGCTAAAATATCCAAACTGTTACAGACTTGATATACTCAGTATATACTTAATACATTGCAGCCCTTGGACTTAATTCAGTCATTTCATTATAGCTTTTGCTTTCTTTTCCTGCTGGATTAGGTTCTGTAGTTTCTGTTGTATAATAGGATGATAGCAACTTAGAAAAGGGGAGAGAGTAATTTGTGGATAACATCCTTGAAGATTTATGGGAACCTTTGGCGTTTTTTAATTAGGAAATAATCTGCAGAATCAGAATCCATCTTCACATATTCTTACATATTTCTGGGGTTTTGTGAGAAAATTAGGCCAAAACATTTAGTAGTGTACTTTTAGGTTTTTGGATTGTTTATTGAAGTACATGAAATGTAGTGTTCCTTGTTACTGTTTTTCCTATTAAAAGTAGTTCTGGTATAAAAATTGTTTGAAGATTGGTGAAAAGCAGGATCATGCAATAGTCCATGAGCTGTGGACACTTAACTTGATGGACCAATTATTTTTTCACTGCATTTGTTCAAGAACAAGTAATACTAGAATGAGGACTCATTTTTTCTTAATTTTATTGCAACAATTGTACTTCTCAAAATTACAGCCTTTTCCTGGCACCTCTTGTTTAACTGTTTAACAATTAGGGTGCCAGTACCTTGGTATCTCTTAGCCCAGTATCGACTATCTAGTTTTCGAACTGACTGCTCCTGTTTTTTGCCTCTACAGTCTCCAATCCCCTTTGCCTACTGGTTGTAATGCCAGAGAATAATTGTCTTTGGGTGGACTTTGTTGAGTAACTTCATTTTTACCTAACTCGTGTTTTATTTTATTTGTGTAATTTTTAAAAAAGATTTATTATATATGCATACAAGAACTGGGGTATAGGCCAGAGGTGTGTGGGGTGTGGGGGTGAGAGGATTGACCAGAGACAGAGTGGGGAATAGAACAGGCAGATCGACTGAAATACACTGCTGAGGGGGGCAGTAGCGTGTGAGTCAGGAGGTCTGCTGCGCCATGTGGGTAGCTCCCTTGCCGGGGATCAAACTCATGCTGCAGTGGCTGCTGACAGCTTCATAGGTAGGTTGCATCTTAACCCCTTGGGCCACCAGGGAGGACCCTAACTCATGTTTTAAAAACATTTAATGTAAAGCTTGTGGCCAGGCTGGTTTTGACGTAAGCATCCTTGCAGTGAATCTAGACTGTCCTTCACAATCTGCTGGGGTTTTTTGGTTTAACTAGCCAGTCAACTGTAAACTTCAAATTTGTTAAAATGGAAGGTGACAGCCCCAGTAATTCAGAAAGGTGCAAGAGAAAACTTCTTCCAGCTCACTTGTGGGCAGTTCTGACCCATCGAGGCGCGGTGTAAGACAGGCGGTCGGAGAAAGACAGTTGACTTGGGAAAGGAGTGGCTACCGAGTTTATCGGGGCTGAATTCCACAAGGCTGCAGAAAGAAAATGGTGAACTATAAGGCCAGGCCTGCGTCTGGGTTTGGCCTGGAACCCCGCGCCGACCGCCCGTTTTCCCCGCCGACCCGGAAGAGCCTGCCTGCGGGCGGCCGACGCTTAACACCGACTCGGGTCGGTCACACTTGGCTCGGCGCCCGAGACTGCGGCCCGCCCAGGGGCTTCTCTCCGCCCCTCACTTGAGAATTCCTTTTAAACTGCTCAGGAACCCCGGCGCACTCTGGCGTGCTCTTCCCCGCCCCTCGGGCGGCCCGCTTTTCTTCCTCTGATTGGCCACAGTCTCTGTTCGTCAGCCCTGACGCCGGGGTCGACTCCCGGGGCTCCGCCCTCTTCCGAAAGCCCTGAAAACAATTTTAAGATGGCGGCGGCGACGGTGCGGAAAACAATGGGACCGGGGCAGCTGGGACAGGCCTCGGCCTGAAGCGGGCAGCGAGCGCCGGCCCGAATCGGGCCGAGCGGGGCCGAAAGGAGACCCGCCGCCGCATGCAAGCCTCTTCCCCAGCACGCGGGGCCATGGCGCGGCCGTGAGGCGCACGGGCCGCCGGCGGGGAGCGGAGCCTGCAGTGCCAGCCGGCCCGAGAGGCCCGCCCCGGGCCCGGCCCGTGCAGCCCGCGGCCCATGGTGCTGCCCACCTGCCCCATGGCGGAGTTTGCGCTGCCGCGGCACAGCGCGGTCATGGAGCGCCTCCGCCGGCGCATCGAGCTGTGCCGGCGCCACCACAGCACCTGCGAGGCCCGCTACGAGGCCGTGTCGCCCGAGCGCCTGGAGCTCGAGCGCCAGCACACCTTCGCCCTGCACCAGCGCTGCATCCAGGCCAAGGCTAAGCGCGCCGGCAAGCACCGGCAGCCGCCCGCCCCGGCCCCCGCGCCCGCCCCGGCCCCGGCGCCCGCCGCGCCCGCCCCGGCCCCGCGCCTCGACGCCGCCGACGGCCCCGAGCACGGCCGCCCTGTCGCGGTGAGTAGGGCGCGGGGAGCAGCCCCTTTCCCGGAGATGGTGCCCGGACGCCGGCAACTCCTCGGGTCTGACTCGGGGAAGGCTAACATGGCAGGAGCTGAGCGGTTGTCATCTGCGGGAAATGGCACGGTGGCGTTACTTTGGGAAGTGACACTGTGGCACTCCTTTGGGAAAACATGACCGTAAGGACTTTTACATGAAGGCTGGGAAGACTGGCGAACGGTAGCTGGGAGGTTTTCTTCCAGACTTGATTCCGAAGTCTTGAGAACTTTATTTTGGAGCTGGCTGACTTGAGCGTTGCCAGTGAGAGTAGTCTCCTTCTGCATAGTGGGCCCTTGTCCTTTGCCGGGTCGGGGCTTAAATATGGAAATATTTGCCCATCTCAAACTTCTGAGTGAGAAATCCAGGCAGCTGAGCACCTTAGTAAAGGCAAAAAGTACTGTTCATTGAGTTGTATAAGAGGCTTCCTTGTTTAGGCAGCCCTGAAATTTGTGAACTTGTGATTTCAGTAATACTCTGATAATTCCAGTTTTACTATTTATAAGGCTGTTTAAAAATTTCTGATGCTATTTGAGAGTACGTTGGCAAATTATGTTTTTTGAATTCTCAGTAGATATTCAGGAAATTTGTTGGTTAGAGGTTTCCCCCTCTGAAACTGATTCATAAAAGGGAAACATGGGTTTTTGTTGTATTATTGGTAATTTAAAGTTTAAAGCTATGGTACCAATCTGATTTTTCTTTTGTATTGAATGCATGTCTGTTACCTCTCACGTAGGGTATTGCAGTACTCTGCCCTGACTGTTCTTTGGCATTTCATCTTCTTCCCCTTTCCACTCTAAATGCTGTGTCCCTCACATATCCTGTGGTCTAGTTGAGTTGTTTTCCTTATTATCACCCCAGTAGAGAGCCTGGCTGCTGACCTGGAAGACCGAATACCTTAGGTTTCATTGCTTATTGTATCTAGTCAGGTCTTCTCATCACTTTCATCTGTAAACTGGGAATGTGCACGATACTTAGTCTCAATAGAATGTGACTTCAAAGATAGGAGTGTGTATGTGAAAATCTCTCCGAAATGGAAGAGCTGCCTGCAGGATCTCCTCCTCACCTTTCAGGTGGACTCTTCTTCCTCTTAAAGCTAATTTCTTTCTTTCTTTCTTTTTTTTTTTTTTTTGGTTAAGCAATGAGAAAGATATTTTTTTAAATAATAAATTTTATTTTTGTAATCCCCATACAATTGCAACCCCCTTATTTTGACCCCAATCCCTCCCCTCCCGCCCTCTACTCCCCATAGAGTGTCTCTGGTTCATAGTTTTTTGGATTTTGATTTTCACTTTCTTATAGTTACTCATTTTCCTGGTCCCTTATTTAAGTTTTCTAGATTCCTGCTATGAGTGAGACCATCCGGTATTTTTCTTTTTCTTTCTGGCTTATTTCGCTGAACATGATCCCTTCCAGCGCCATCCATGTTCCTGCTAACCACCTGTCCCATAGCTGTGAGAATCACTTCCTTTGTTAGAACATTTAGGAATGGTATTGTCTGTGCTCTTTATTTTCAGTGCATACCTACAGAGTAAGGTCCTGTCTTGCCATCTAGACTCTAAGCTCTGGGAGCCAGGGAGGGACTAGACTCAGAGTCCAGTACAACTCTTAGGTCCTCAGCATGTGTTTGTTGAGTGGTTGATATTAAACTTGGTAGTACTTTACTCAGCAATCTAACCTGGTATGTGCTAACCTTAAAAAGCAAAATGGCTTCACTTAATGAGTCTCCTTTACTGACTGCTTATGTTGTATGGAAAGACTTTAAGAATAGTGTGGTTCATTCCATTTTAAATAATGAAAGCTCGTACATAAAAATTTTACTTTTACACACAAATGGCTGCCTTGAACTCCCGTGGAAATTAGATTAGTAGTGATTCCATTTGTTTAAAAGAGAATATATCATTTAAATCCTGAATTCCTGGAGAGAAAGTGGGCTTGGTGTCTCAAGAAAGTCTCAGTATGTTAGGACTTGAATCTGGCTTGTCAGTCATTCTTTCTGCTTTCGGAGCCTGATCAGATAAGGCATGTTAAGTTGTTGTCTTATCAAGTTAAACCTTGACCCATACATTTCATGAGTGGAAGTGTTCTTCCGCCTACCTGCTAGGAAGAGGGACCTTTTTCACTTCAGTCTCCTCATGAGTCTTTAGTCATAGGAAAGGAAGATCAGTATCACCAAGAAAGCACTGGTGTTTTCTCAAGTTTTAGTGGCTCCTTCAGTTCAGAGGACAGGGAGAGCACAGTTTTGCACATAGAGATAGGAGAAAGTGCCTCTTAGTCATTGGTATTTTTGACAATTCTGTGTATGTTTTTGACCTAATTAATATTCCTTAAGGAATATTATTCGTCTTATTTTTTCCAAATGTGTTGCAGTACTGTTAGGCAGCCAATTCATCACCAAGATTGTATCAGCAAACCATTTGTACAACTGAAAAGGGATCAAATTTACAAATAGAATTTATATTCAGGGTTTTTTCCCCTCTTAGGATATTCCAAAACAGCAAAGTCTTAACCACTACCTGCTTAGTCTGTTAGAGATGGATCACAAACAGTACTTCACATTTTTTTCTATTCTTGTTGTCGAGGAATGACCTCATTAGGTGATTTTTTTTTTTTTAAATACTGCATGTGCTCTTTAGAAACCAAATAGTTTTCTCCTGATAGTTAAGATTGACTTCCTTTTATTAGGAATGCTAAATTATAGAGAATTATCTACCCTCTATATAAACATTCATTCTGTAGTGAAAAATAGTCCTTACAGTAACTTGAACACTTTCTTTTACTCAAATGCTATAAAGTTCACCCTTTGCCCTTTGTATCCACTGTTGTCAGTTACACTTTTGCTGCTTACTCCTTAAGTTATGTGATAGTTCACAAGAAATTTGACAGTTGTAGACCAACCATTCATGGAAATTGCCTCCCCTCCTTAGTATAGGTATGTGAAATTTCTCTTTCTCACCTTTTTTTGTACATTAATTTAGAATTTTAGAGAAACGCTATATAAACATTACAAAGAATAATTACATACTCTTCACTCAGAGCTTGCCCATTGTTGCTGTCGGTGCCACTTTGCTTAATCGTTTGCACACATTGTGTCCTCTCCACCTGTTTTGCTCTCTCCTCTTCCTAACTTCCATTCTCAGAAACACATGCAATTATACAGACTCCTCATGACCTTATAGCCTCAAACATCCCAGTGTATACTTCGCAAGAGTTAAAAAAGATGTGTGAAATTTTAATGATTTTGTAGATTGAATGTACTTAAGAATATGCAAGTAGGTTGTTTCCAGGGAGTAGGTATTTCGGAATAGAAAACATTGTACTGTAATTGTATAGGGTAGTTTGAAAAAAGGTAACTGTAATATGACTTCAAGCTCCTATTTCTTTCTGTGACATCCCAGACCTTGTCCTAGTATCCTCCTTTTTTTTTTTTAAGATTTATTTTTATTTATACAAGAACTGGGGTACAGGCCAGAGGCATGGGAAGGTGAGAGGGTTCACCAGAGACAGAGTGGGGAGCAGAACAGGTAGACTGAAATACACTGCTGAGGGGAGCAGCGGGCGAGATAGGAGAGGTCTGCCGCATCATGTGGGTAGCTTCCTGGCCAGCAGCGGATTGAACCCGCGCTGCAGAGCCTGCAGACAGCTTCACAGCGCTGCGCTCAACCCGCTGTGCCACCAGGGAGGCCCAGTATCCTCCTTTTTATCTTCACTATCTCCTTTCCCCTTGGGTTCTTTGATTCAGCTTGAAAGCATGAGCAAGTATTCTCTTCTTTGTCTTTTCTCACCCTCGAAATAGTTTTCCATCATCTTCCTTCCCTTTGTCCTTTCCACTTTAACTTCCCATTACTCATTTAACCCATTATAATCTGCCTTCTACCTCTCTTACTTTTCTGAAGTTGGAATTACCAAATTCTTACTCATCATTCTTCACTACCTCATTAAGACTCTTCTCTAGCTTCTACTCACCTGATTTTCTTTTTAGTTTTTTGGTTTTTGTCCTGTCTCCTTTCAGCTACCCCTTATTAATTCATGCAACAAATATGTGTGTACTTACTGTGGCCAGAGCATATTCTAGGCGCTAGGGATATAGTATGAACAAGACAGAACTGCTCTCATGGGGAAGGAGATCAGTGATTTTAAACATTAGTTTTTCTGTTATGCTAAATGCTAAGAAAAAAATTAAATCAGATAATGTGATACTAAATGACTTACAGTAGCAGCTTAAGATGAGACACTTATTTTGACCCTAAATGACAGGAGGGCAGCAGTCAACTGAAAGTCTCAGGAAAGAACATTCCAATTAGAGACAACATCAGAGAGGAGGTCACTGTGGCCAGAGCAGCATGGCAGGCAGGCAGCTGGTATGACAGGTAGGTGAGCAAGGACCAGATCAAGTGCAGGGGGATGTAGTAGTGGGTTTTTAAGCAGAAATATGATGTGACTTAACATTTTTTAAAGACCATTCTGGTGCTAGGTAGAGGGTGCTTATGTTTGGTGTGGACAAGAGTGGATACAGTTAAGGCTTTTGCAGTGATCTGAGCCGGGGCTGGTAGTGGTAATAGGTAAGGAGAGGAAGAGATGGATTCTGGACGATTGCTATACTCCGTGTCATAGATTCTTTCATGAATTCCTTTATTGCCTGTAACAATAAGATGCTCCAGATCTGTCTTCCAAAGTTCAGATCTGTATTTTCAGCTGTCTCCTGCGCGTTTTTACCTTGATTTCCCGTATGCTCCATTATTCCTTCTGCGTGTTTTCCTGGTCCAGTCTTCTTAAGCAGAAACCTGGTATTACCCACTCCTTTGTGCATTTCCACCTTTCAGTGGTCATTTGTTCATCCAACACTGAGCTCCTGCCGGGAGCCAATCTTAAACTGGGTCATAAGATTCAGATGATTTACCCAAGGGTATTCAAGTGGAACACTGATTTCATGGGCTATTTAATGAGTTCTAGAGTTCAAT